CTCCTCGCCCAGCCCTCGCACCGGGGACTGGGGCCGCAGCTCGCGCTGCTCGGGTGCCAGCGAGGGGGGCGTGGCGCTGATGGGAGAGGGCCGCGAGTTCAGGCTGGGGCTGAGCGGGGCGCGGCCGCTGGGGGCCTGGCTGAACACCACCACACACTGGCCCACCTGGAGACAGAGCAGGACGGGGGGTTACTCGCAATCGGACACGGTCCGGCGGCGTTTGACACTACAGCGCCGGGCGGGGCGCGGCGGGCCATACCCGGCAGGCAGGGTGGCACCAGAGCTCCGGGGCGCCGTGCTCCTCGTTCTCCACCCGCAGCTGCTGCCACGACCAGGGGGAGGCGCCCATGTGCAGCAGCCAGGCATCCTTCAGCAGCTGGGAAAGACGGACAGAGGCAGCGGGGTCAGAGGGCGCTGGACAGGGACACTCGCGGTTGGCGCGGGGGCGGACGGGCCGCTCGGGACTCACCGCGTTGGGGCCGCCGCAGCCTCCCAGGATCAGCAGGGTCTCGTCGTCCATCACGATCTGAGACAGGGAACAAGACAGTTGGACTAGAGGCGCTGCTGAGAAAAACAGGGCCGAGCAGGACGGGCTTCACTGCATCCCGACAAACACTGATGTCCTTGGCGACCGCAGAGCAACATTTGAAATGTCACAGCTCATCGATGGGGACTTACAGAGCTTTAAAAGGGAGCTGCAGCACCTCCTTGCATCACTGTTACACAGTTACAGGGTTACAGAGCAGCCTTTGTAAAGCCAGGAGATGGCCAGGGATACAAAGAGCCCGATTCCTGCGAGTTCCAGTTAAAGTAGCGGTCTGTGAAGGGGTCCGCTCACCTGGGACTGACCCCCCCGCGGGTGAGGGGCGGGACCCGCGACGGCCGGCTTGGACCAGGACCACTGCTCCAGGTCCAGCACCCAGACCTCGTTGCTCCTGCGAGACACAGAGAGGCGACGCTGACACCTCGTGCGCACGACGAGTCAGCGACAGGCCCGGGGCTGCAGTCCTGATCAAACAGGGGGAGCAGCGCCGGGGGGGAGTCGGGGTTGAGGGTTACTCACATCTGCCGGGACCCCAGCGACCCCCCAAACACCACCATTCTGCTCCCGATCACGGAGGACGAGTGGCCGGCCATGGGGGGCGGGCCGTGAGTTGTCACGATGCAGTTCCACCTGCAGAGGGAGCAGGAGAGCAAGGGGGAGGAGTGAGGGGAGCAGCAGGGGTGGAGAGAGAGCGAAGCCTCTCAGATGTGACGGTCTGCTACTGAGTTTTCTCTTTCAAGCAACTCGACATCATCTTCCCCTCCATCTCTCCTCCAGTCTTGACACCCGACCCACTACACCCCTGCAGCCACCACACCCCCCCACTGACACCCTCACAACACCCCCAAACCCCTCCTCCTCTCCCCCGTCGCCGCGGAGGGCAGCCCCTCCCGCCTCTCACCAGTTCTTTGAGGGGGAGTACGTGTGAATCTCATCGAAGAACCTCTCGGGCTGGTGCAGGGGGTACGGGCTGGGCCGGGTCCAGCCCCCGAACAGAACCAGCAGGTCCCGGTACACCACCAGAGTGGCCCCAGCCTTCGGGGAGGGGTAGGAACCTGAGTGAAGGGAGGGCAGGGGTCAGCACCGGGGCAGCTGTCAGCGGAGAGAGGACCGGCCCGAGCAGCCAGCCGTGCCCAGCAGTGTGCCCACCTGACGCCAGTGGCCGGATCCACTCCTTGCTGTTGAGGTCAAGTCTCCAGAGGTCGTTGAAGGCGGCGTTGCAGCTGCTCTGAGTGCAGCCCCCAAACACGTACATGGACTGGTTGCTGTCATAGTAACACGCACCTGGAACACGCGACACATATCACACACATTCACATATCACAGATACTACCAGGCATGGCCATCAGACCCCCAGTGCACAGCAGCCTGATCCACTCCAGGCTTCACAGCAGCCTGATCCACT